TCATTTTATCCAAACAAAACCTCAAATATAGCCTTATGTGACTATTTGGGTATGTAATACCACGGATCAACGGCACAAATTGGAAATATTTTGTAGGTAGTCTTCTATTGAAATTTTTATGAACTATTACTAATAATCTTATACTGCTGTCAGACGCCATGTCTTGTTGTTCGTGCGCGTGCGCAATATCGCATGTCGAGAATTTCCGGCCATGAAACATTTATTCCACTCACTCTCGTCGAATATGAGCGATATATCAGCTCATATTCGACTCCAGTTCGTAGAATAACTGTTAAATATATATAATATATAATATATAATATATAATATATAATATATAATATATAATATATAATATATAATATATAATATATAATATATAATATATAATATATAATATATAATATATAATATATAATATATAATATATAATATATAATGTATAATGTATAATATATAATATATATTGTCATCCACCGTTTATGAGCTGTTCTGCAATCTGATTGGTTGAATTACTCGCCGTATATCAGCTCATATACGTCGAGTAGCGAAAAACAAGATGGCGGTCCAAAAACTACATGAGTTTTGCAAAGCAGAAAAAGGAAAATATTCGCTTTTGAAACATAATAGTACAAGAAAAAACTCTCAAAAAAAATTTGACAGGTTAGCAAAATACATTTATTACGTAGAAATTAGTTTAAATACAAGTTTGTTAAAGAATTAAGAGGCTGTCTCAGTAAGAACCACCTGGTCATTTTCGTTTCAAAAATAATTTTTCCTTAAACCCTGGCGACTGAAAGGCTTTAGTAATACTAGAAAAAAAAACGGGTTTGGATTGCTTCAAAACGATTTTGTTGTTGTGCTAGGAGCAACTTAGTAGTTAGCGGGTCATTTGGCTCTGAAGCGACGTCTCGAAAACTGAAAAAAAGCCATTTTTCGAAGCGCTGTAAAATATTCAATTCGCATCGAAAAACAATAAATCATGCATACATCGATTTATTTCTTACCGTAATTGAAAAAAAGCGGGACTTAGTTGGCGCTTTAAACCTTTACAGCTCAAAAATATAGCCCTTCGTTTGATCATATTGTAAAAATTAGGTGTACGATGTTTGATTTTAAAAAGTTATGACCACTTGAAGTAGCACGTGTGCCGACTGTTTGCGATTTTCTGCCTACTGCAAATACCGTCTTAGTCAATCACGGTTTGTCAAAAATAGAACTTACATGTTCCAGACGAACGGCATTTTTCCATCTGCTGACATTGCTTAATATCTAAGAGTGCTGAAGTCCACCACAGGGCCGAGAAATATCCAGTAAGTAGGTTTGAAAGGTTTGTATCAGTAGAAGCATGATGCATTGATTGGCTGATTGTTGACAAATGAGACTCGTAGCCATAATAGTCCCCCTCTAGCGTCGAATAATGCTGTTCAGAGAACACTTTTTTCGAAATTTGGACAATAACTCATCAAAGCCTTTTATTGTAGAAAAGAGGGACGTTAAACTGTTACAAAAGTATAATATTTGCCTGTTAATGAGGCGGCAGAACGTCAATTTCAAACGTTGTTGTGATCTACCGTTTCCTGGGTTTTCACTTGTTTCCATCCACCAAACTGACATTACGCAATTTCCCAAATTTCCATTTTCGTTTATTTTTCTTCATCAATTTAGTTAGTGTAGGGTCATGATTAGTTTTAGGATAGGGGTTAGGGTAGGTTTTATGGTAGGTTTTAGGGTTATGGTCATGAGTCACAAGTTAAACAGTTAGAAAAATGTACAGTATTTGCCTTTTTTAACAGGCAAATATTGTACTTTTGTAATAAGGCGTGAAAAGGTCAACTTGAACTGCGTGTTGTTGCATAGTCAATCAAGACATGGTCTGGAAACTCGGTGAACTTGAAAGCGCTTATGAGCTGAGATTTTATGTTGAACCGTACTTACACCGTGCACATCCTTTGTTTTAGGTTTGTTAATATAAATAGCATGGTTGAATGATAGATAGAGCTGACACGTTGCTATTGGATGATTTGTCATTATACTAAAAAGCCCTAAAACACAATGTGTTCATTGACCGTACACCGCGTGCACAAAACTGGATAAACGTGAACGAAAAGATAGAAGAAAGACTTTCGCTGAGTTTCCAGACCATGATTTGACAGACTAAATTAGACTATGGTCTGAGGTCCGGTTCGCTTATAATTTCATGTGTCACACGGCAGAATCTCATTAACCGCGGATATAGCTCGGATAGCTCACAATTAAATGTCACAAATCAAGTAACTAGAACACGATCTTAAAGATACTAGAACACGCTCAACTTCTGAAATTGACGAAGAGCATCCACTGCCACTTTGACATCATAGTCCCCCTTCCGGAGCATGTAGCGGATATATTTACACTCTATGTGACTTTTTTACATCTAATTAATATATAACGGAAAATAACTTGCTGCAAAAGATTACTGTTTTGGTAGATAAATCAGCACACTGTCTAACTTGAAAGATACCCCTGTCCGTCCTTTTAAGAATGTGGAAGAGCTGTGAGTGATATGCCCTTGGAAGAAGTTAAACTAAGAGTTTGCCAGAGGACGCACGTGTACACTCGCAGTCATTGACCATATCTGAAATTTTGTCTATGAGTGCTTGCTTTCTATCTCTTGACTTAAAAGAGATTTCAAAATGACTACAGATTTCTTTAACATAGCCATATCAAATTTGTTTAGTGTTTCGTTGTGGTAACGCTCACACAGGTTGTATGTATTGAGGTAAGGTGTTAACACGTTCTACGTTACGAACGAATATAAGCCCAGGGCATACGTTCGGAGGTTTACGGTATGCCATTATATGTCTGATTCTCTTGTGTTCTTTGATTGGCAGCAAAAAACTGTAATCATTTTAAATTTAAAGGTGTCTGTTCTTATAGTTTTTTCCATTCTTTTAGATTGATGTAAATCAAATGATATATCACTTTTGCATGCTGTAGTACATCAAACACAAAAGGACCGGGTTTAACCATAGAGGGTTCAGACCACCTGATAAAGGATATTGACAGTAGCACAGCTATACAAGAAAGTATATAATCAGTACCATGTAATGTTTTGTGAAGATAAACTCTTTTGATGTATTACATCGCTGCTGTGGGATTGGTTTATCTGCAGTGGTCTGCATGTTACTGGGTCCAAATGCATTGTCGTGGGAAAATTGCCTAAAGCAATATAGTTATAGGGCAGAAGAAACTCTTAAAACTGAATTTAGTTGTTACTACTGTATACCGTACTGTCTAATGAAGTGATTTTAGTCAACATAAATATATATACATATGTTGTTGTATATGTATAATTAATATAGCTAGCTATACTGTACACAGGGCTGCCTAGAGGATTTGCGGGGCCCGAGGCAAATCTTCCCATTATTATTTTTAAGCTAGACCCAACTAAACCTTAGCTAGACTGCATGTGGAGGTGCTGTAAGTGGCCCTCAATTTCAAAAATGCTCTTTATAGAACGTACTCAATTTTGGGCTCTTGCTCCAAGTTGGGGCCCTATTATTAAAGGTTGGGGCCCAGAGCAATTTGCCCCCCCCCCCCCTCTTGGCGGCCCTGACTGTACACGTCATTATTTTGATTATAGCTAAATAGAATATGCAACCCTATCGTAGAATGTGTTATATTTTGAGTGTATACCATATTGCTAACCCATTGAGCTAAATTGTTCCCTACTTTGTTATTTTACTATCAATATTTAAAACATGGCTTGTTTTGGCATCTCTGCGATATATCGAAAAATGCCATTGATTTGATGTATTGAAACCATGGATAGTTTAGAGTTTTCGACATATTGAAAAAATGGCAATCTTTTGTTATATCGAAGAAATGACATTCTTTCAATATATAGAAGCCATGGATAGTTTAGTTTTCGATATATCGAGGAAATTGCAATCTTTCGATATATTGAGGAAATTGCAATCTTTCGATATGTCGAAGAAATGGCATTCTTTTAATATATTGAAGAAATGGCATTCTTTCGATATATCGAAGAAATGGCATTCTTTCGATATATCGAGGAAATTGCAATCTATCAAAATATCGAAGAAATGACATTCTTTCGATACCGGTATATCGAAGCATTGGATAGTTTAGAGTTTTCGATATATCGAAGGTGGCATGTACCATTTTCTTGATATATAATTTTCACTGACTGTGGCTGCCTCCAGACATGTTTTGGAATTATAACATTTTCCTCTTTTTTTCCCTTTTATTCACATGCCTTTTACTCACTTTGCTAAAAAAATAAATTTTGCTCAAATTTTTTAGCATTTTTTTCCGCTTAGAGATTTATAGTATCATTTTAGTCATATCTTGCCACTTGGAAAAGCTAAAATTGTTGGAAAATGTGTATGTTTTTGCTGAATATATTTCCAGTTATTTTTAAGATGCATTTGATGTGATTTCCCTATTAAAACATGAAATCTGTCATTGTCCACATTTGCAATTATTCTTATGTTTTTAACCAATTTTTATCATTTTTGAAAAGGAATTCTTGTTTTCATGCAGAATTATTGCATTTATGTATATTTTCTCCAAAGTCATGGCTGTATTCATTGCATTTTTTAGTGTTTTCTTTTGTTTTTCTCTCAAATTCTGTTAAATAAAATATTGGACCCTATAGTAGAACGTGTTTCCTTCGGACTCGTGCTATTTTGAGGTCTTTGAAAAACTCACTCGTGCATGTTATATCCAAATTGCACTCGACACCATGCTATTACCTATACATATAGTTTAGTACTCTCTCTCTATAACTGTATCTCTTTTGTCTATATTTGACATTGTGCCCTTTCCTAAGATACTAAAGGTGAATGTGTTTTAATGCGATAATTTCAACACGAGTGAGCTAAGTCGCGTGGATGCTGCAAAAGTAATTCCATGCAATGCAAGGAAGCGTTTACTTCATACGCTATTGTTTGTGCGAGGCAATCCTGAAAATCATTTTGGAAGTGAAAAATATAGGTATCTAATTCAATACAATGTCCATTACATGTAGTCATATATGACTGAGAATTACTATTTAAGTTAATGACATTCAACGACTATATTCACTATATAATAACAATAGAAGTCAATTATTCTTTATAGTTCCAAATCAAAACGGTAGTAAATGAATTCCACATCATTTTGCAGCATCGAGGTTTGTCAGTCATTTTTGTGGTGGTGGAACTTCTTCAATCACAATACGCGATATGGAGTTCCAACCAGAGTCGCCATCAGCATTTCCATAACCCTTACAATTTCCCACCCAGAAACCAACGCGGACAATACCTTTGGGAATTTTATTGCAGTAACCTTCGATATGACGGTGACGATGAATATTCTGTCCTGAGCCTTTTGCCATGTAAAAAACACCATCAATAGCTAATGGTTTATTGCATTCCCCTCCATTGAAAGTGAAATACCAACGTTTGCAACAATTGTTACAGCTGGCTATACGTAAATTACCGCCATAGAAGATTTTCAGAGATGAATCACTATGTTTCTTGCTGAACACACAATCCTTGACGGAAAATATCAGAATCAATAAAAATATTTTCAAGGCTTGAATTCTACTATCAAATTTTGAATGGAATAGGGAGGAAATTAAGGTAAATATTTATCAGCTTTAATTCATCCAATCCAAACATCTTAGTTGTATTTACTCTCTATACCCAAAACACTAAACGGTTGAGGGCCGGTGGTTTAATTTATTTATGGTAGTTCATACCCAATTTTAACAAACCTGTATTAATCCGTTATCTTTGAGATCTCTCCGATTCCAAGCACATTGCTTCCAGTTAGAGTACAAACCACTGTCTGATCCTGCTGATCCTCTTTGCTCAGGAGCACCTTTAGCCCCAACAGCACCTGTAGAACCCACGTCCCCCTTTGCGCCAGGTATTCCATGTGTTCCGGGCGAACCAGGAACGCTAGGTATTCCGGGAATACCATTGCAGGCGGATGAATGCTTTGGCTAAAAAAAGGGAGATGGAGTATTTAATTTGACTTGGCTTAATGGAAGAGTAAAATGAGTTGGGCATTAAATTTATTATATATTATTTTGCATCATTACAAATGATAAACACTTCCAACTACAAATGCGTATATTTGCCTTACTACCATTTAGAATTCATTGTAATCATACTGTTAGAAATATATATTTTATTTCTTTTTTCTACGCGAGGTAGGGAATCGTTTACAATCAGTCTTTTCTAGTAACTATCAGTTTTTAGTGTTCGTCTCCTTGCAGTAGTTTTCCAAGAGTTCACTTCAGCCTTCAACTGGCTTTCACTGTTCGTGATCTGTTTCGTTTATTTCTTCCTCGTTCGTTTGTTTCGTTTGAGTTTCTGCAGCTTTTCATCAGTTAAGTTTTATTCAGCATACGTCCACTGACGAATTTGGGTTGTGCGCGCCCTTTTATACTAACGGTTGAGGGATCTTTCTACACGTGATGTAGCAAGTGGTGTGATTTGTATCCAGCCAATCAACGTTGAGGTTTAATTGTGTGGGTTGGCGTTGCTAGCTCGTTCCAGCTCTCACATTCTGTTTATTTAAGGCGTTGTCGCACTGGTCGAGTTGGTTCGCTGTTCAATCGATCATCATTAAAACATGTTCACAACTTAAAATACTCATCAAAATATCATAGTAAAAACTTCAACCTATACCTATGTGAACCTTACTTTACCTACTAAACTAAATTTACTTACAATTTTATTGAACCAAGATTTTGATGAGGTAATGTTATCATTACTCAACCGCGCGAAATATACCGAAGAATGATTGACAGAAAGGCCCTAAGCATGCACATTTTCATGTCAAAGAAGAACCAGCCTTGAACTTTGAATTATGTAAACACAAAGTCCGAAATGATATATACTTTATATGAGTTTTACAGCAAAAATGCTCATTATCTCTCCATTTGACGTAACAAGTATCTATAATTACCTGGGGTGCAAATTGAACTATTTTTATACCATTTTTAATACTTTCGTAACAATCCTTCCCGCCTGGATTAAGCGGCCCTCAGCTTTTGAGATATACAAAAAAATGACTATATATTGTTCATATTGTTTTAAGCTCGGCGTGGCTTAACACGGGCATATTACTAAATGCCTAATAACTGAGTCCATACATATAGTACGCGTTAATGACTAATTGTATATGTTAACACTACATAAGAGATTATACAAGAAATATAATACTTATGCCTAAATGCACCTCAGGGGTAATCTACAATAATAATATAGGTTAATGAACGTAACACAATATAGACGAAAAGAAGAACTTTATATACATGAAGGCAGAGGCGAAACTGCTTGCCTTCTTAAACTGACGATGCCTGGGGTAACTGGTGAGAAATGGATGGGCAGCGGGGTAAACCACAATCTACACATTCCTCCTGTTCAGTCATGTCTTGTAACTCAACTTGATCGTCATCTATATCGTCTGTGCTTATGTCAGATAGTGTGTCAGGCTGCTGACAGCAGTTACGTTGGTTACGTATGTATTGGTATATACAAAATAATGTCAAGATTAGGAGTGCGCCCCGGAGCAAGGAACCACTTAAACCTCCCAATACATCGTGGAAAAATCCTCCTGCACCTCGGGAAACATGCTCAAAAGCGCGTCCAGACGAGTGTATAATGTTTCCTGTGGCTTTTCCTAAACTTGTGACGACTTTTTCATCTAAATTTCCGAGGCCAGTCAAACCGCCATGCAGTGCCGTACCTACTGCTTTTATAATATGGCTTCCGCCTGAAGATAGGCCGGATAATGTAATGCCTATAATTTTTCCTATACCTAGCGCAACATTATTGTCTTCGTCCGCCGCACGAATGTTCTCTAATTGTTCCAAGGTCTCCTGTGCGCGCGCAAGTACATCCAAAAGCGAGAATGTTTCAAATGGCTCAGAAATGGACTGTAGCAAATGTGTGTTCAAAGTGCCCAGCCGTAAAATGGAATTTGAAAAGGCCGGCAGGAAAATCTTTGAATAATTTACCGGAGTTGCTGTACCATTTTGATCTACTAACCACAAGTCTCCCGATTGATCAGCGATGTATGTTGTTGTTGGAATATCAGCACACGGAATTGAGGACGCGCGACTCTGAAGTCTACGTTCGGTAAGTGATAAAAATTTTATCTGTTGTTGTGAAATAACATATACTGGAAATTGTGAGTAACATGTGTTATTATAAGTTCTATTCCAAAACACGCTATAGTTAGTAACATTGAAACATTGGCTAAGTAAATACTAGCCTCCTGCGCAGACGTTGTTAGTGGCCCGAGGCCTCACCTAACGTCTGCTCACATTCGCTATGCATTTGACTTCCCGGCAATTGACCAATCACAATTATCTACACGATAATTGGAAGATCGACCTTCAATGACCTTCACATGGAAAACCCAACACACGGCAAGATTAATGGAAGGCCATTATCAACAAATCTGCAATATTTTTAAAGTTGAAAGTTAATTTTGGCAAAGTCTCCTACAATGTTTTTATTTTTCACCTTTGAAGGATACTTTACAGAGATAGTAACCCTGCTCTCATCAGTTTTTTTGTTCACTGGCGCTTTCTTAGGCGTGGACATAAATATCGGGCACAAATCAATATTGCTCGTTAAGGCTTGTGACGCTTGTCCTGGTTGAACGGTGGCGGTGGGAATAAAAGGCTGTGTGACAATCAAAGTAACGTCTTTCTGTTCAATGCCACTTGCACTGTCCGAGTCCAGTAAGGGGTCATCTTGTTCATCAAATTTTAGAGACTTTCTTGTTATCTCTGTGACTTCGAAACTAGTGTCATGCAATCTTCACTTTGGCTCGTTATTCTGTGTCAGTTCCCTTCCATTAAATAAATTTCGAAAGTACTTATTCAACTCACTTACGGACTTGTTAGCTTCGTCCAGACGCTTTAATTTATTTACACAGTTACGACACAAGAATGAAGTCGGCCCACATTTGTCACTGTAAATGTCTAAGTCGATTTTCGCAGTTTCGCGAAGGATACCCACGAAATCGTGAGTTTTGCTTTTACCAAACAGTCTCGTACGTTTATTTTTATCTATTTCTTCACCCTTGCATGTGAAGCAACTATTTACAATACTTTTTTCCTTTGTTTCAGTGTTCATATTATATGTACATCACGCAGTTGTAATTTGTAATACAAAAATAGTGTAAATTGCTACAATAGGAAATTGACAGCTTGCTGGGTTTTCCCGTATGACATTTGACATGTTGTGGGCGGGAAATTACATTGTTTACATAAAATTCTATTGGCTGTTCTAAACAATGGGAAGTCAAATGCATAGCGAATGTGAGCAGACTTAGGTGAGGCCTCGGGCCACTAACAACGTCTGCGCAGGAGGCTAAGTAAATACGCGTTACCATTAATTTTGGTCGAACGACATGTCCAGGAGATTGGACTAACCATTTAGAACTACTATGTGGAAAATTTTCAATTGCCCATTTATAAACTCGCGACATCTGTTGGCGCTCTCGACAAATATTTTCCCAAGTATTTATCATGTTAATACGTTCATGTTCTATCAAAGCAGCGACGTGAGTAACTAGTAGATCCGTAACTATCAGATATCGCTGAAAGGTACTGTCTTCTATATCCTTTGCGTTTTTCCGATTAAAAATATACGGAACTTGCAGCAACTTATTGATATCATGCTCAACCTGTCCTAATGTGCCACTTTTCCATGCCAAACGTACAAAAACATAACCACTATCTAAGATCAAACAGCTGAGTGTTCCCGGGTTGAAACTATTGTACCGCTAATGCTCAATGAAGGGACCAAAATGTAATTGTCAATCTGATGCACTTTAAACTTCCCAAGAGAATGATAAAGACGTGTATCATGTTTAATGCGGTGCCAGACTATTTTTGAATGTTTCATTTCACGTGGAGTGCAATGCATTGTCGAGTACCGATAATGTGTGTGAGTTAAATGCTGCTGAACACGCGGGTTTTTGCCATGCAAACGTGCAGGATATGCGATTATCTTAAAATGCGTATAAGTGCGTGTCTTAATATGCATCCACTTGCAACTGTAACTATCAGGTGTGTGTGTTCGCCATTCCGCACGACTATGTTTTTTTAGTCTACCATAACGAGTGCGATGATGAAGCATAGCTTCCTTACAATCGTGAACTGACACAGATATAGTGTGTAAGGAATGATGTTTACTTTTATGTCCAAAAAAGGTTTCATGACATGTCATTCTCAATCAGCATTCCGCGGTACAGTGATAAATTGTAAGATGAGAACTACGTGGGGAATACTGTAAAACATCTGCATTAAAATATTGAACTTTAGATTTACTAAGATGCATTTTATGTTCACACTGTGAGTGGTCTGAAAATTTGTACAGAGCCGTATGATATACGCGTGAACAATCATAAAGAGGGCCAATATTTATTGAAGCGGCAGATCCTATGGAAATACGGTACATGTTATTAAAACCAGCCGCATACCCATGAGCAAGTAGATCCAACTGAAAATATGTGACACTTGCTTTGCCTGACAATTTTGTGAAAGTTTTGGCAAGGACTGAGTTGATTTTGAACCTTCCGTTTTTGCTCTGGTAGACAAAGAATTAATCGGAGGCTGTGTCAATTCGGCCTCTGGTGTTACCATATCTGATTCCGCGACCCATGAATTTTGTTCGCTTGGAAAACCTAGCCATTTCACAAGATATTGCTTTTTGCCGTTGCGCAAGCGCGTTTTCAAAATTTTCTCAATTTGATATATTTCACTATCGCTTTGTTCGTGAGCTGAAGTCCGAGTTTGAACATCTTGCGGATCTGCGTCCTGCTGCGAATTGTTAATAGAGCTTTCCAGATTTTGAGGCTGATTTGGAAGTTCACGTGGTAAACTAAAATCTGTTTGTGGTTCAGGTGTAGTCTCAAAACTATCATCCGGAATTTCATCTTCTCGCAAGGTAAATTTATCATCAAGCGAGTCACTAGGAGGCTCAATTGGACGGTCATTTGCGTCGTAAAAGAGCTTCATACGATTAACATGCACGGGTGTTGAGATAAGACGATTTGCGGAATTCCTTAACTTGAAATTGACGGGTAATAATTTGTTTACAATACGATAAGGACCATGCCAACGATGAAATAATTTATTTGACAACCCTTTCTGAGTTTTGGGCGTATATACCCAAACGCGCTGTCCAATTTTATAGGACTCGGGTTTCGAGGTTAAATCATAGCGAGCTTTCATTTGTTGTTGCGTTCGTTCCGTGTTTGTTTTGGCTAACCGCTGCGCTTCCTCTAATTGCAAAACAATACGAGCCCTATGTTCAGCAATGGATGTAGAAAGCTTGTCAGTTTGAGGCGGTAGTAAATTTACATCAACAGGTAAGCGTGCATGGCTCACGACCGTATAGAAGATAAAATGGGGAATCCCCCGTTGTCGCTTGAGGCGAAGTCCTATATGCAAATAGTATTGATGGTAAAAACTCATCCCAATCTTTTTGATTTGCAGACACATACATTGATAACGATTGCGAAATAACGCTATTAAATCTTTCAACCAACCCGTCCGTTTGTGGGTGACATGCGGTCGTATTAAGTTTCTTGATGGATAACAAGTTGCAAACCTCTCGGATTAATTTTGATAAAAAATTCTTGCCGCGGTCTGAAAGCAAGGTTTTTGGAGCTCCGTGTCGACAGAAAATTTCATTTACAATCAATTTAGCTATGACAGGAGCTTCCATTGATGAAACTGCAAAAGCTTCTGGCCAACGTGTCAAGTAATCAGAAAAAACAACAACGTAACGATTACCTGAATATGATTCGGGTATGGCCCTAAACAGTCAACAGCAACTCGGTCAAATGCCCCCTCTACTGGAATAGGTAATAAAGGAGCCTTCATTTTATTGCGTGGTGTTTTACGCATTTGGCAATCAATACAAGACCTCACCCAATGTTGTATATCTGTGAACATGCCCGACCAGTAGTAGTGCGTGCGGATTTTTTCGTACGTTTTCTCTGAACCAAAATGACCACCCAGGGGATTGTCATGAAAAGATTTTAATATTTCGAAACGTAATGCAGTAGGGACAACCAATTGGATTTTGGTATCTGTTCGACTTCGGCCGGTGGGTGTCCACAAATGTTGTAATATACCCTGATCATCTAAGAGAAACTGGTCTGCTTGATGTACAATAGTTCGTGAACAATTTTCTTCGTTTGGCAAAGTTTTAGTTTCAAGGTATTTAATCAGTGGCGCTAAAGTGGTATCTTTGCGTTGCATTTCATGAATACGTTCAAGCTCGGCTGAAAGAGGTTTCAAAGCAGCCAAGGTACTAGGCGTAGAATAAGCGCGACGTGAGAGACCGTCTGCATTGCCATTTGCGATCCCCGGACGGTGTTTTATTTCAAAATCGAATTGTTGAATAAATAACGACCAGCGGGCTAATCTACCAGTTACATCTTTGACACTCATTAACCATTTTAAAGCGTTATGATCTGTGTGCACTGTAAATTTATGTCCATGCAGATAAGGCTGAAATTTTTTTATACCGTCAATTACAGCTAAAGCTTCTTTTTCTGTAGCTGAATAGGAAAGTTCCGCTGAATTTAAACTGCGGCCTGCATAAGCGATTAGCCTACAACTTCGCGATCATTCTGAATTTGGCCTAAAGTCATACCTAAGCCATCAAGGCTAGCATCAACATAGAGATCAACATAGATTTGTGAAATCAGGGTAGCATAAAATTGGCGCAGATACTAATGCAGATTTTAAAATATCAAAAGCTGTTTGACAAGCCTCTGTCCACTGAAATTTGACATTTTTACGAAGTAATTGCGTGAGTGGTTTGGCAATTTTCGAAAAATCCTTGATAAAACGTCTGTAATACTTTGCTAAGCCGAGAAAACTGCGAACATCCTTAACCTTTTTCGGGACCGGAAATCTTTAACTGCACTAATTTTATCGGGATCTGGCTGAATTCCATTCCGAGACATAATATGACCTAAATATTTGACTTTGGAAAACGCAAAATGACATTTGGTTGCTTTAAGTTTAATATTCGCTTCCCTGAGACGCGAAAATACCAATTCTAAATGTGCTAAGTGCTCTTCAAATGAGTGAGAAAATATAATGATGTCGTCAATATATATAAGACATATTTTCCAATTCAATCCTCGCAAAACATTTTCCATAAGACGCTGAAATGTAGATGGAGCGTTACATAATCCAAAAGGAAGAACTTTAAATTCGTACAGGCCATCATAAGTTGTAAAAGCTGTAAACTCTTTGGACGATTCGTCCATTTCTACCTGCCAATAACCAGAAAACAAATCTAAGGTTGTAAAATATTGCGTTTGGCCTAATAAGTCCAAAGATTCCTGAATATGAGGTAAAGAGTACGAATTCTTTTTTGTTACCGCGTTTAACTTCCTATAATCAACACAAAAGCGGGTTGATCCTTCCTTTTTCTTTACAAGGACAACTGGACTAGCCCATGGACTAGCTGAAGGTTCAATAATATCATCTTCGAGCATTGATTGAATATGCTGAGTTATATTTTCACGTTGAGTTGGTGCAGTTCGATATGGTCTCTGTCTTATAGGAGGAGAACCATCCGTAAAAATTTGATGTTTGACTATTGATGTTCGACCTAAGTCATGTGTTCCTTGAGAAAAAATATCCGCATTATCAACTAAAAAATTATGTAATTGACTTGTCTGGTCTTCTGTCAAGGCCTGCGAAATATCAAATTCTAATGAAGCTGTTTGTTCAGGATAAGTATAAGAATCATTCTCAGTAAATGATGTAGAATCGTGTGAACTAGGTGTTTGTTCAGCTGATAAAGACATAATATCACTGATCACATTTTGTTGTCGAAAAAACATTCCCAATGTTGTGTGCCTAAAAATCTTTATTGGTTTTTCAAAAGGATTCACTAGTCGAAAAGGAACAAGACCAGATGGAGATACTGACACAAGTGCTGAAGCACCGCAAACATTAAAGCGTCTAGGTAAGTTTGTATTTGGTTCAATCATACCTATAGTTTCTGTTAAATGACAGTCCTTAAATGTTGCCGGAATCACACATTCGGAATTTGGTGGAATGATATAAGTGTCAGCCGCATGGACAGAATATCCTGAATCTTCATGAATTTCAGGCTCAATGTCCGCGAATGGTAAGGAATCCTGCACAATCTCTTTGGTTTCAAATGTTGCATCATAATTACTAGTATCTATTTCATGCATGTTGGAAGTATTGAACAGTACCAAATTATCGCGAGCAATTTTGAGATAGCCGGAATTAAAATCTATAACGCAATCAAAACGTTCAAGAAAGTCCTTTCCCAAAATAGCCATAAAATGTAATTTAGGTAAAACGCATGTTTTGATCGTATAAGTAGCATTACCTAACGACAATTCAAGATTGACGTCGCCTAAAACATGAACAATTTCGCCGCTTGCAGTTTGCGCTGTTTGATATTGTCCTTCTGTGGTTTTCAAGGACGAATTAGAATTTTCACGAACTTTGTCCCAAAGATCTTGGTTAATTACCGTAATTGCAGAGCCTGTATCAATCAAAATGTTAGCATCAATACCCCCAATCTTCCCACTAACAGTTAAGTAAAATGTTTTTCGAAGCTCTGGATAAAAGACTGTATCACTTAAGGTAGAACGTTTCCGTGCAAAAAGAAAACAGGGTTCATTTTGACTGGGTGTATAAACACTATCCTGTAATAAAACATTCATAGGGGGTGGAGGTTGGGGAGGTGGTGGTAACGCCGGAAAACGCGTAGGTCTAGTTGCGTACGGGTTTGGCCTGCGAATATTTTGGTTTTTTGGAAAATTATTCCTTACATTTTGTCCTTGCAGGTAATTTTGTGGTTGAAATGACGGACCCCTGGAAGCATTAAAATTCCCACGAACCTGAGGAAAGTTTGGACGCTCTATATTTGCAAAGCAGCGACTGGCAATATGACCAACTTTATTACAACGATTACAAATTGGCCGTCCATCAGTGGTACGGCGGTTACGCGAATTGTAGTAAGAATTTGCAGGTGGTTGTGCAGGTCCTACTCTTTGATTATTCGGTGGCATAAACTGAATTTGATTTTGTAAACTCATAAATTCTTGCCGTGTAACATAGTTCGGAGAATCAGTATGCGTATTGCGCGTAGTTTGTGCTGCTAATTGCGATGAACCAAGATCTATAGCTGAAGCAGCGCGTGAACTTTGATTCGGTAAAATTGAACTTAATGAACAAGAAAGGGAGTTTTTCAAACGTTCAGCATCAACAGCAGCGGCATAGGTATCTGGTAATTGTAAAATGACGTGTTCTTTTAGATCCTGGCGTAAACCTTGAACAAAACATTGCATGGTTTCAGCGTCCGTTAATTGCAATCGCGCGGCTCTAGCGTCAACATCATCAAGATAACTTTCGAGCGGTTCCACTGGACCCTGCGTGCGGTTATTTAATTCTTGGCGCCTTAGGAATTGTTGGTGCGGTGATACAAATACTTGTCTTAAAGCGTCTTGTATGGCATCTAAATCCGCGCGAATTTCGTCTGTTTGGCGCTGATAAACGCGTAAAGCGCTACCACTAAGAAACATTACAAACCCATTCAATTGTTGGTCAGGGGTCCACCCATTAAATGTGGCATAACGTTGAAATTTTTGCAGCCACTCGTCATAATCCTCAGTAGGGGAACCGTGAAAAACTGGCGGCTGAAGGCCACTTGCTCTGGGAGGCGCCCCGGCAATTTGATTTTGATGTGCTTGTAGTCGGTCTGTCATTTCTTGCAATAAATCAAGAAGACCAGGTTGAAAGGCTTGGGCTTCCTCAACCATTATTGGCCCCGTGGGGAAAGCTGGAAACTCTGTTTCTAAATAAGATATTGACGAGAGAGAAGAATCTGAATCTGAAGACGGAAAATGGTCGTTCCCAACCCGAGATGTACAATTACCTGTACACCAGCGTGCGGAGTCAAAACCTAGAGAATCTATATTGTGAGAGCGCGTGCGCCGAGCTATTGGTTCGTCGTTTTCGGAACTAGATTCTGTTACGTTCATTAACTATACTATACACACCCTTATTTATAAAACATAATATTAAACATTAAAAGTCACAATATGATATAAAGTCAAATAAAATAATGTAAATTGATCGATATTAACAGTCAATAACCAACTTACGACCAATTGATCAGGAGATTGTCTTCAGAATCTGCCTCGTACCCGGCTGGAGTGCAGCGATACTTCGGTGCGCAATAACGGGGCTGAGGTAACCTCGATCGAAATTGATGGAAATCGAAGGCCGAGGCTTCTGGCGAAGTATAAGGAACCGTCTCCGTTTGCGTACTGGCGTCTTTTGTATGTGATCTCACCGGAATTGTTGGTTGAGGTGTAGTTGTCGTTGTAGTTGTCGTCGACGCGACCGGTTGCGGGATGAAGACCACTGGAGCGTACACAACATATGGTTCACCACAACCGTTCATCAGGCCGTTCCTCCACCAGTTGTTAGAAATATATATTTTATTTCTTTTTTTCTACGCGAGGTAGGGAATCGTTTACAATCAATCTCTAGTAACTATCAGTTTTTAGTGTTCGTCTTCTTGCAGTAGTTTTCCAAGAGTTCACTTCAGCCTTCAACTGGCTTTCACTGTTCGTGATCTGTTTCGTTTATTTCTCCGTCGTTCGTTTGTTTCGTTTGAGTTTCTGCAGCTTTTCATCAGTTAAGTTTTATTCAGCATACGTCCACTGACGAATTTGGGTTGTGCGCGCGCCCTTTTATACTAACGGTTGAGGGATCTTTCTACATGTGATGTAGCAAGTGGTGTGATTTGTATCCAGCCAATCAACGTTGAGGTTTAAAGGTGTGGGTTGGCGTTGCTAGCTCGTTCCAGCTCTCACATTCTGTTTATTTAAGGCGTTGTCGCACTGGTCGAGTTGGTTCGCTGTTCAATCGATCATCATTAAAACATGTTCACAACTTAAAATACTCATCAAAATATCATAGTAAAAACTTCAACCTATACCTATGTGAACCTTACTTTACCTACTAAACTAAATTTACTTACAATTTTATTGAACCAAGATTTTGATGAGGTAATGTTATCATTACTCAACCGCGCGAAATATACCGAAGAATGATTGACAGAAAGGCCCTAAGCATGCACATTTTCATGTCAAAGAAGAACGAGCCTTGGACTTTGAATTATGTAAACACAAAGCCCACCATGCAAGGCTATCGTCCATCTTTGACAGTTTGACAAATCATTTATCTTGCCTAATGGACAGATAATTGACACTTTTACACAAGTCCGAAATGATATATACTTTATCTGAGTTTTACGGCAAAAATGCTCATTATCTCTCCATTTGACGTAACTAGTATCTATAATTACCTGGGGTGCAAACTGAACTATTTTTATAGTATTTAGATATACTTTCGTAACATTTGTCCTGACCCGTGCAAGAACTTTTAAAAAAGCTAGGGTCAGGTGCGCAATATGGCGCCAACATGCAGTAAAATATTCGCGAAAACATTCAATATTTTCATTCGAGGCCGCTATCTTTATCAGTGATACCACTATAACCACAATGCAAAGCGCTACGAAAACGTAATAAGGGGAATCATCAATTACCAATTTTTACTATTGCGCGCAGTTAAATGGCACCACGATTATTACAATTCGTCTAATAGAACCAACCGAATATTATGGCTGTTTAAAGTAAAGGGTTATGTGAAATACGTAATTGTTCATGTGGACAGTAATTTTACTGCGCTTGCGTGATTTTACTTGTTGTTAAAACACGAAACGAAAGAAAGATTTATAATATAAGCTATGTTTTTGGACAATGTTAATTACATGCCACCCAACGTTTGGCCCGATCACACAAAATAAAGGATTTTAAGGGCAAAATACGACGATATTCGAGACGAAAATATTATAGATAATTTACACGATGTAGGATAAAGAGAAAGTCGAGCAATTTAAGAGGCTGTCTCTCGAAGAACCGATCAATAACTCTCGGCTCAAAAAATAAAATTCTTCGTTACTTTCACAATGAAATGTATTTACCCCAAGAACAAACAAACACTTTTTGGAATTTTGAAATTTTATTAATTTTTTTTTAAATTTCAGCGATTTTTCGGCCCGGGTCGTCGGGCAGAAAATCCTCTGCCTATATCAGGCATAAATATTAGCCGAATTCAAATACATATGATTTTAAAAGTATTCAACCAAATTTTATGATTTTTTCACCCACCAACGTGAAAATTATTCCACTTTGAAACTTGCCTTTTTTATGATGCTTTTACAGAACGATTATGGCAAACTTTAGCGATAACAAGCACCGGGTCTAAATACGGCTTTATACACATATCAAATTTGACATTAAATTTCTCAAAAGTGGCACCTAACTGGATTCTGGGACTAATATGGTTTAAAAAATGGGAGTTTGAAGTACCAATATCCATAAAAAAACTTGTTACCAACCGCGATTTGAAGACTCGATAGCCTCTGAAATTTGATACAATTTGGCTATTTTGTTTAGCTTCAATTATAGCGGACTTGAGACGTCAGAGCTTCCAGTCACTTGTAAAATGCGCTGTTGTTCCGTTTTTTTACACAAGCCTTTAATATCATCGTAGTTAAGCGCTTTTTCTGTGTTCATGAACATCACAAGTGGATTTAATTCGAAAAGATTTCGATCGATGCAGCGAGGTAAACGTGGTACGCTTTCGTATTAAAATTAGCTACTCGGGGAAAACCGGAAATTATTGTCAATGCTAATATATATTAATCTAAACTCTGTATGTCTATTCTACACGATTGGAAATGAATTTAAACTAGAAAAAAGACTTGATCTAGACGATTACTATAGATACTCATTATTATAAAAAGATCCAGTTGCAATCGTGCATGCCAATTGAATTGGATTTGGATTATAGTTTGAATAAGGGTTTTGATTAGTGTTTCAACCAGGGCATGGGTGAAATTTAATAGAAGAGTCATATATGGAATAGTCTCCAAATGACCCCCACCCCAACTCTATCCTGACCCCTACCCTCCACCCACCCCACCACTATTGTGATGTCATTTGACGACCTTTATATCGACTTCACCTGGAATTGTTTAATAAGGAGAGCTAATAAAGGGTGAAGTTTATTTTCATACAAGAGTTTTCAAATGACGTCACAAAAACGCGAGGTTGGGGTAGGGTTGGGTTTGGGGTAGGGTTGGGTTTGGGGCAGAGTCGTACTGGGGGTGTGGGTAGGCCATGGCATGTGGGGACTCTTATATGAAACGTCGGCCAGAATAATGGTAGAAACTGTTCACGACGTATTTAAAATGGGGAATGTTCATTAATGCGTAAATTATCCCTATAAGGTATAGTATTATCATGTGAAGATATAGTTGGGAATCGAAATTGTCAAATATATACTAATGGAATTGTTGTGCATTACACGGAAGAGAAGCTATAGAAACAAGACAATTCGGCATGTTTCTGGTTTTCTGCTAATAAATGGCAGTAATTGTTGCACGATTAATTAAACTGTTTATGACGGGAAGTGCCAAAATTAGCAAGGACTCTATTTTACCTCGCTTACCTCGCTGTAACGTTTACCTCGCTGCATCGAGCCAAATCTTTTCGAATTAAAACAACTTGTGATAGTCATGAACACGGAAAAATCGCCTAACGGCTTGTGTGAAAAAAAACAACCCGGAACGCCAGCGCATTTTACAAATGACTGGAAGCTCTGACGTCTCAACTCCGCGATAATTGAAGGTAACAAATTTCAGAGGCTCTGGAGTCTTCAAATCGCGGTTGGTAACAAGTTTTATTGTGGATATTGGTATTTCAAAGTTCCCTTTTTTCAACCATATTAGTCCTGAATCCAGTTAGGAGCCACTTTTGAGAAATTTAAAGTCGAATTTGATGTGTGTACAAAGCCGTATTTGGACTTGGTGATTGTTATCGCTAAAGTTTGCCATAATAGTTTTGTAAAAGCATCATAAATCCAGGTAAGTTTCAAAGTAGAATAACTTTCACGTTCGTGGGCGAAAAAATCATAAAATTTGGTTGAACACTTTTAAAATTATATGTATTTGCATTCGGCTAATTATTATGCCTACTTAGACAGAGGATTTTCTGCGCGACGGCGCGGGACAGAAAAATCGCTGAAATTTTAAAAATAAATAAAATTTCAAAATTCCAAACAGTGTTTGTTTATTCTTGGGATAAATACATTTCATTGTGAAAGTAACGAAGAATTTCATTTTTTGAGCCTAGAGCCATTGGTCGGTTCTTAGAGAGATAGCCTCTATATTCATTTCCAATCGTGCAGAATAGACATACAGAGTTTAGATGAATAAATATCAGCATTGACAATAATTTCCGGGTTTTCCCCGAGTAGATAATTTTAATACGAAAGCGTACCACGTTTACCTCGCTGCATAGATCGAAATCTTTTTTAATTAAATCCATTTGTGATGTTCATGAACACAGAAAAATCGCTTAACTACGATGATATTAACGGCTTGTGTAAAAAAACGGAACAACAACGCATTTTACAACCGACTGCAAGCTCTGACGTCTCACCTCCGCTATAATTGAAGTTAAACAAAATAGCCAAATTGTATCAAATTTCAGAGGCTGTCGAGTCTTCCAATCGCGGTTGGTAACAAGTTTTATTATGGATATTGGTACTTCAAACTTCCATTTTTTTAACCATATTAGTCACTGAATCCAGTTAGGTGCCACTTTTGAGAAATTTAAAGTCGAATTTGATAAGCGTACAAAGCCGTATTTAGACCGGTGCTTATTATCGCTAAAGTTTGTCATAATCGTTCTGTAAAAGCATCATAAAACAAGACACGTTTCAAAGTAGAATAATTTTCACGTTGGTGGGTGAAAAAATCATAAAATTTGGTTGAATACTTTTAAAATTATATGTATTTGAATTCGGCTAATTTTTATGCCTGGTATAGGCAGAGGATTTTCTGCGCGACGGCGCGGGACCGAAAAATCGTTGAAATTTTAAAAATTAATGAAAATTCCAAATTCCAAATAGTGTTTGTTTGTTCTTGGGGTAAATACATTTCATTGTAAAGTAACGAAGAATTTCATTATTTGAGCCGAGAGTCATTGGTCGGTTCTTAGAGAGACAGCCTCTTAAGGCAATTCGTGCGGGAAATCGTGGTGTCATCACAAAAAAGTAAGCAATGTCAACGAAATTTTCAATATTCTTGCGATGTTCCTCTGAATGTGTGTCCACATTGGCCAGGCATATTTTTCAGGCCTGCCCGGTGTGGATACACACTCAGAGTAACATCACAAGCATCTTATTCACCTGAGTACACAACACCAACACAGCAAATGTCGAAATTTTCAATCATGGCACAATTAGCAAAGAACAAGCGAAAAGGTTAGATGTATTAAATATTTTATTAGAAGGGAAATTAAAAACTATGCAAGGGATTGATCAAAGTATTTTAGAGCTATGTGAGCTTCCGAATTATACTGCGGTCAGAAAGGAGCGTATTACGACACAAGTACGAATCGTACATGATGGGTCTGCAAAGTCGGAAAATGACGAACGGTCTCTTAATGATTGTCTCGAGATTGGAACTAAACACACTCCACTTATGTACCATCGACATGCCAGCCGAGTTTAAATTAATCCAAGTGGGACTTACTGCCGATATGGAAAAGGATTTGTTGATGGTAGGAATCAAGGAGGAAGATCGTGACATGCTTCGCTTTCTATGGTTCAAAGATCCGACAGCCCAGTGTCCCCAAATCATCAAAAACTCTGATTCAATCATTACATAATTACAGGTTATCAAACTTTCAATATTTAATATAACTGACGCATAATTGCAATGGTTAATTTGGTGAATCAGACGTTATTTTAAACAGCCATATTATTTGTTCTACTAAACCAAAATGATCTCTTAGACTGAATTTTCGAAGGTCACTAATCAGCACAGCTACATTATTGCATTTCTTCTGGACACTCTGCTTTTTAACTTTTACATTTTTCTCAAATCATCATTGTTTCTTGTATTCACACTTAAAATACTCATTAATAATTCATGAAGAAAATTGAAAAGAAATGAATGTCTAATCAATGTTTGTAAATCGGATAACGATTTGTCCTGATTCACATAAACTTTAGCTTTAATTTTTTAGGCAATATGAACTCGTAAGATGGGTCGTGTTACATCAGATAAAGATCGGCTGCTATAATGTTTTAACTAGTACTTGTAATACAAACCTCGTTGAACTGGTCAACCTCCTCCTTTCCACTTTCTGCTCTCCCAGCAATCAACATCAATTTACTTTGAACATCCTTTACTTCTTCCAAGCTATAAATCTTTTCCTCTCGACTCTTAATTTCGTCTTTAGGAACAACAAGGGATACCAAATTCTCAAGGCACAATGTAACGCCATTGTCCACATGTTTACTTTCTTTAGCTTTTTCGGTGTCTGCAATGTAGTAAATACCAGAAGAATTGATTGCTTCAACTTGAACCATAGTTGTGAGAGCAACAGACCCATGTGACTCTTTAATTTGCTTCAACCAAGACAAGCCTCGTCTTGTTAACATCTTAAATGAAAATGTACTGTTAGTAAGCATGTAAATATTACAATTATTCCATTGCAACAATTTGAATTTTTGCTGACTGTTCCTCGTCTGCATATTACCTATTACTTATTAGTATAAACCTACTAGTAGCCTATCATGTATCGTGCGTTCTTATTGGCTACTCTACTATCGGCTATAGTCACTACTGTAGGCTATAGTCATAGCCTACTAGTAGCAACAAGCGGCAAAGGGCGCAAGAGTCAATGGCCGTCAAAGAGTCAAAGTATTAAAATCTACATTTGAAGGAAAAAAGTTTATCAAAATGGCCTAATTTTGGTTCTGGATTGCACACAAACAAAGACTCTTGGAAACTGCTGATACATGCGGTAAAATTTTCTCAATTTTACTCGTAGCTTTGAACATGAAAGTGACAGGCGATTTTTTAAATATATGCACAATGTTTGTTAATATTCCAAGCAGAATCATTGAAATTAAACAATAGTTTGTAGCTACTTACCCCCTACTTTCTCAACCTTTTTATTGCGTGCTTTTTTTAAGTACGAGTTCATGTATTTAGCTATCACTTTAAAGACTTTTTTTCATTTAAATGTCGAGATTTTGGCTGAGAGATTTTTTTGAGCCTTTTTAATCGAGTTTTTCGATTAAATTTTAATCTAAACTTTTGTCTATGCATACTAGATGATGGAAATGGTTTGTCTCTTTATTTTTCCTGATATTTTTAAAGATTTCAATGACATTCTGATTCTTTTGCGTGTATTTTTATTCGGCTTTTTGACGTAAAGTTTATTTAGTAACAATTCGGGGAGCCATTTTGTGTTCGAAATTTTGGACTTTTTAAGGCGGCTCGATATAGTTATCACAAGAACCCTGCTCAAGAATCGCGAACTCAAAACCGGGTGACCATTTTTACGCGCAAGTCGCGGAAACTGATTAACAAAATGAAAGAACTTCCAAAACGACCTGACGTGAGCAGTTGCTCGCGCCATATCACGCCATTGCGCGTGTTCTATAGCGTTTTATATCAATTGCTGACGTCATTAGAATTTTCCATTTTAGAAAAACAATGCGCTATATCTCTTTATTTTGTCTGGTGACCTATGTTCAAATTTTGCATGCTGCATTGCACCGCTAAAAACTTTCATTATACAAAAAATAAAAAAATTCTGTAATGCCAAAAAAATTTTACCGAAGAATATGACATTTTCGCATTTTCCCAAAAAATGGCATTACAGAATTTTTTTATATTTTGTTAATTGTTAGCTTTTCGTCCAAGTAAAATAATGCACGACAAAAAATTGGGGGCACCGTGCTTCTTTTCCAACTATACGAGGCGATAGACCATTTTGGAGTGAATTTCGTACACGTATGTCGTCATAGCAACGAACTATCTGTTATTAAAACCAATAAAATTTGAAAGTAGAGTTATCAAAATATATAAAAACTCCAATATCTGCTGAATAAATCCTAAAAATGCGTAGTTTGAACATGTCAAAGTGTTAAACACCTGAATTTTTGAAAACTGTATCGAGCCACCTTAACCCTTGTTTCCTTCTTTTAATTAGCCAAACATTGCTTGTATAATGACACCTTACTATTATACTGTTTTATGACATGTTTCTTAACTTCTTTAAAACTCAGAAGTAGTATTTTTCAAGTCATTCTTGGGAGATCACAACACTGAGTATGATTTTCTGTGTTAGTGTTATGTACTCAGGTGAACATGATGTTTGTGATGTTACTCTGAGTGTATATCCACTGAGTAGTTGTCAACAAGACTATATAACACTGAGTAGTTGTCAACAAGGCCGAGGCGAAATGTCGCCAAAGGAAACCATTTAAACGCTCATTTCATTTATTAAAAAGTTATTATTTTATATACAGATAAAAGTTAAAAATTCAGTTTTCTTTATATGGTTTATACTAAAATAATTAGACAACTCTGCCTCGTTGTCTTTGAGCGAATAGTCAACTCGGCTACGGAAAGCGATTTGGTGCAAAATTCAAGCATTAAAATTCTACCAGTTTCAACAAACGCCGATCAACATCAACCAGCTTTTTATAATACATTCAACAAACCGATTCAACGTCAACATTAATTCCGTTCCAAATTCAACTATTCAAAAAGCCTTCTATATCAACACCGATTTTTGTTTCACAACCAAGACGAGTTTCCTGCTTCAGAAGCATGTTTAGTAGTTCAAGATCAACCTTAAAATTTGTGCCAGATTCAAGCAAGCAAAATTTCAATCAACAAAACCCGAAACGCTGTCAACAAACCCAGTGTTTCCACCCCCAAAAAATAATTTCCTTCTCTATAACCCGAAATTTCCTTTTTCCCCGAATTTTTTCGCAAAATTTCCTTCCAAACGTTTTTTATCAAAATTGACAGATTTACCTGGTAATTAACATCAAAATTCTAGTATTGAACCACATTATATTAATTTATAGTAGATAACTCTGTATTTTGCAGGTTAAAATCAGCTCATCTTCATCACCCTCTAATATATGTTCTCCCATGGAATTTCTTTCTCATTAAAATTTACTCCTCCCCCTGGAAATTCCATGTGAAAATTACTCCACCCCTTGGAATTCCAGAGCCTGGATCCCCCTTCCCTGGAAAAATTCCGGGTTTAATGTACCCCCTCCCCTAGAAATTTGAAAGTTAATGCACCTTTCCCCTGGAAATTCCAAGGTTCCTCAACAGGGAAGTTGCGGATAAAAATTAATGTGGTTGTCGTGTCATGTTTCAGCACACATTGAATTACCCTTGGTTTCGGGTCAGTGCACATGTTACAATAGTGGCTTTGATATTCGCCGGGGGTTAAATACTTTTTAAATCAGGAAATTCAACAAAATGTACAGCATCAAATTCAGTGAGGGTTATTCTTTCTATTGATACTTCAAAACACAAATAACCCCCTCGAACTGACGTGTTATCGCGGTTTGAAAATGGGGTATATTTCGGGGCTATAAAAGAAATGGCATTGATATACGCAGGGGGTTAAATAGTTTATAAATCGGGAAATTCAGCACAATTCACATTATTGAATTCGGGGAGGGTCACGGTTCTAGCTGATACTTTAAAACATTAATCTCCTCCAATCGACGAGTTATCCCGGTTTGAAAATGGGGTATATTTCGGGTATAGTGCCATGACAAGAAAACGGCTTTGATATACGCAGGGGGTTAAATGGTTTATAAATCGGGAAATTTAATAAAATTCACATCATTGTATTCAGTAAGGGTTACTCTATCTATTGGTACCTTAAAACATAAATAACCACCTGAAACCGACGGGTAATGGCAGGTTGCCTTTATTTTCCGCACAGGGGGTTTGAGGACAATGGGAAATTCAGGGGAAGGGTGTAAAAAAGGCCTCAATCTCGTTTCCCGAGCCTGCGATCCTCGGGAAGGAACGTGAGGCTCTGGGAATGGATAATCCGTTGCCGGAAGCCAGGAATCTTGGCTAAGACCGAACTACGCATTCCATATCAACGGCCAATCTGACTCCTCCCGGAAACGGATTATCCCAGAGCCTCACGTTTCTTCCAGAGGATCGCAGGCTTGGGGAACGAGATTGAATAGGCCTTGGGAAATCCTGGGGGAGGAGTGAAAAAGACTGCAGAAATCCAGGGGGTGGGGTGATTAGAGACCAAAATCCAGGGGACCCCTGGAAAATTGCTCAATTGCAGACATCTAGCAATGTTCCTAGGAAATTCCAGGGAGAGGGTATATAAACTGAATTCCAGGGGGCCACAATTTAGCTGGTAAAAGGATGTCCTCAACCTCGCCTGCGTGGAAAATAAATGCAATCTGCCAATCGATGTTTGAAAATGGTGTATTTTTGCTTTTGATGTCGCCAATCGCGGAAAAGGGACTCTACAGGAAATATGGCGTGAACGCGACGTAAACAAGCCACAATCTTGGACAAAACCCTCGAGACCATTCCAGCTAATATTACAAAGTTATTGAACATTGCCCCCCCCCCCCAGTTCAATGTTGTGAACGCCGCCGCAACAACTTTTGGTAATATACCATGATACAAACTCAACATTGAGTTGGGGGAGCGGGGGGTTAAGAATGGTAACATGATTCAACATGGAGTTTATCATAAAAATACGCGAATTTTCTATAGGGGGAAAATAGTCTCAACCAGTTATGTCCAAGATTGTCTGAATGGGGGAATTTGACAAGCATACCAATTGTTTGAGAGTTATGGTTAGAAAGGCAGATAGGTTAGTGTTGCGATGGAGGAAAAATTATTAAATATATGTTACACTGCAAGTACTGTAAGTAACCGAAATTTTTATCCATATTAGCAATCATTCCAGGCGATGCAAAATCTATATTTATATTGTAAGTAAAGGGAAATTAATTAGGAGGACATAATACACGTCTGGATGAAAGTAAATTATTTATTGGACTTTTGGTAAACTTGATTTCTACCTTATTCCATATCATCATTGAAAGCTTCGTATAGTGAATGTAAAAACATATCCAACACTAAAAGTAACCGAATCGGTCAAACTCGATAACATGGTTTGCTCAGAAAACGGCTATTCACTCTAACGTGCGAACGTTCCCTGGTCCATTTGAATCAATTAGCTACTGCTACAGAACATAGCTACAGAGTTTAAAAAGAAATGGAATCATGGACATGCTAAACGTTGTCTACACAGCTATTTTCATATAGGCAATCGGCACTTTTCACAGGTTATTATAGTATGGCGACCCCCCACGAGGAACAAAGGGTCGCCTGTACCATGTTCAAATTGGCCATAGTAAAGAAATGCGAGTATATCGCCACGACTTTTGGAGCATAAAAACCTTTTATAATAATATATAAGAACATTTCAAACGATTAACGAAAAGATTTGATGTGATATCAACGGTAAACGGGGATAGCAGCAAGATTTTATAGTAAATGATAGGTCTAGTCATTGTTTTAAATTGGAGTCGCTGTTTACCGTTCTAATGGCCTGTTTACCGTTCTTTTATCAAACCACGATAAAGATTATACTTGGTTAACCGTCATATAAAAAAATTCGGGTTAAATTATAAGTTTTAAAAGCAAGTTTGAGGCTCATAAACTATAGAACAAATGACGTCATCTTATAAAAAATACCTATATACAGCAACACTTGAACGTGATATTTACATAATTGAATTAAATCCCAATGCATGTGTCTCGACCTCTATGCCCTAGTAACATGATATTACTCGCTTCTGGCAGTAGAAAACTATATATTTTAGATGAAACAACAAGAAAAATTCATGCGTTTCATGCGTATATTTTAGGATGTGACAAGTTCGAATAGGCATTATTTTGCTCACTTTTCATGCAAACGAATATATATATATTGCTCGAAAAACAAGAAGTAACGTGTATATCCGTCTTTCAGACTACTGGGGTGGAAGAAAATTAAAAAAGATTGATTAATAATGCACAATTAAATTCAGTGTGCTTCAGACTGTCTGAATATGGGAATTTTACAAGCATACCAATTGTTTGAGAGTTATGGTTAGAAAGGCAGATAAGTTAGTGTTGCGATGGAGGAAAAATTATTAAATATATGTTACACTGCAAGGACTGTAGGTAACCGAAATTTTTATCCATATTAGCAATCGTTCCAGGCGATGCAAAATCTATATTTATATTGTAAGTAAAGGGAAATTAATTAGGAGGACATAATACACGTCTGGATGAAAGTAAATTATTTATTGGATTTTTGGTAAACTTGATTTCTACCTTATTCCATATCATCATTGAAAGCTTCGTATAGTGAATGTAAAAACATATCCAACACTAAAAGTAACCGAATTGGTCAAACTTGATAACATGGTTTGCTCAGAAAACGCCTATTCACTCTAACGTGCGAACGTTCCCTGGTCCATTTGAACCAATTAGCTACTGCTACAGAACATAGCTACAGAGTTTAAAAAGAAATGGAATCATGGACATGCTAAACGTTGTCTACACAGCTATTTTCATATAGGCAATCGGCACTTTTCACAGGTTATTATAGTATGGCGACCCCCCACGAGGAACAAAGAGTCGCCTGTACAATGTTCAAATTGGCCATAGTAAAGAAATACGAGTATATCGCCATGACTTTTGGAGCATAAACCTTTTATAATAATATGTAAGAACATTTCAAACGATTAACGAAAAGATTTGATGTGATATTGACGGTAAACGGGGATAGCAGCAAGATATTATAGTAAATGATAGGTCTAGTCATTGTTTTAAATTGGAGTCGCCGTTTACCGTTCTAATGGCCTGTTTACCGTTCTTTTATCAAACCACGATAAAGATTATACTTGGTTAACCGTCATATAAAAAATTTGGGGTTAAATTATAAGTTTTAAAAGCAAGTTTGAGGCTGATAAACTATAGAACAAATGACGTCATCTTATAAAAAATACCTATACACAGCGACACTTGAACGTGATATTTACATAATTGAATTAAATCCCAATGCATGTGTCTCGACCTCTATGCCCTAGTGACATGATATTACTCGCTTCTGGCAGTAGAAAACTATATATTTTAGATGAAACAACAAGAAAAATTCATGCGTTTCATGCGTATATTTTAGGATGTGACAAGTTCGAATAGGCATTATTTTGCTCACCTTTCATGCAAACGAATATATATATTGTTCGAAAAACAAGAAGTAACGTGTATATCCGTCTTTCAGAGTAGTGGAGTGAGAAGAAAATTAAAAAAGATTGAGTTATAATGCACAATTAAATTCAGTGTGCTTCAGACAATCTTGGACAAAACCCTTGAGACCATTTCAGCTAATATTACAAAGTTCTTGAACATTGACAAAACAAACTTTGTCCCCCCCCTCCCCCCAGTTCAATGTTGTGAACAACGCCGAAACAACTTTTGGTAATATACCATGATACAAGCTCAACATTGAGTTGGGGGAGCGGGGGCTTAAGAATGGCAACATGATTCAACATGGAGTTTATCATAAAAATACGCGAATTTTCTATGGGGGGGGAAATAGTCTCAACCAGTTATGTCCAAGATTGTCTGAATATGGGAATTTTACAAGCATACCAATTGTTTGAGAGTTATGGTTAGAAAGGCAGATAAGTTAGTGTTGCGATGGAGGAAAAATTATTAAATATATGTTACACTGCAAGGACTGTAGGTAACCGAAATTTTTATCCATATTAGCAATCGTTCCAGGCGATGCAAAATCTATATTTATATTGTAAGTAAAGGAAATTAATTAGGAGGACATAATACACGTCTGGATGAAAGTAAATTATGTATTGGATTTTTGGTAAACTTGATTTCTACCTTATTCCATATCATCATTGAAAGCTTCGTATAGTGAATGTAAAAACATATCCAACACTAAAAGTAACCGAATTGGTCAAACTTGATAACATGGTTTGCTCAGAAAACGCCTATTCACTCTAACGTGCGAACGTTCCCTGGTCCATTTGAACCAATTAGCTACTGCTACATACAGAACATAGCTACAGAATTTCAAAAGAAATGGAATCATGGACATGCTAAACGTTGTCTACACAGCTATTTTCATATAGGCAATCGGCACTTTTCACAGGTTATTATAGTATGGCGACCCCCCACGAGGAACAAAGAGTCGCCTGTACCATGCTCAAATTGGCCATAGTAAAGAAATACGAGTATATCGCCATGACTTTTGGAGCATAAACCTTTTATAATAACATATAACAACATTTCAAACGATTAACGAAAAGATTTGATGTGATATTGACGGTAAACGGGGATAGCAGCAAGATATTATAGTAAATGATAGGTCTAGTCATTGTTTTAAATTGGAGTCGCCGTTTACCGTTCTAATGGCCTGTTTACCGTTCTTTTATCAAACCACGATAAAGATTATACTTGGTTAACCGTCATATAAAAAATTTCGGGTTAAATTATAAGTTTTAAAAGCAAGTTTGAGGCTGATAAACTATAGAACAAATGACGTCATCTTATAAAAAATACCTATACACAGCAACACTTGAACGTGATATTTACATAATTGAATTAAATCCCAATGCATGTGTCTCGACCTTTATGCCCTAGTAACATGATATTACTCGCTTCTGGCAGTAGAAAACTATATATTTTAGATGTAACAACAAGAAAAATTCATGCGTATATTTTTGGATGTGACAAGTTCAAATAGGCATTATATTGCTTGCTTTTCATGCAAACAAATATATATATATATATATATATATATATATATATATATATATATATATATATATATATATATATATATATACTTTATAATTACATGTCAGTTTGTTGATAAATACGGTAAGCGCCATGTAAAGCTCATTGTAGTCACTGAAACCTCTGCGGAGGAGAGAACAATCGGGTGGCGATTTAATATATATAAGCTACGTTTGCAATATATTTCGCTAATTTGTGATTATTTTTGTTAATTTTATAGGTTCATTGCAGTTTTAATTTAAATTCAGCCGTTTAGTGGGCTGCCTATGCTATAATTAGATTGTTGTTGTCGTTGTGTGAAATTTAAATTTCTCCTGCGACATTTTGATTGGATACTAAATATAAACTTTGCTATGGGTGGAAAGCGATCAGGTTAAGTTTTGTGTCAGGCTCTATTTTGTAAAATAGAGCCTGATACTCAGGTTAAGCTAGCTCTTCAAGTTGGGCTAGTTTGGGCTAAGCAAAAATTATCACACTGTTTACAGATTTATCATGCTGATTTGGTTGTTTAACAGTTAAAGTCCAGGCTGCATGTTTTTGTCCTGCATATGGCAGATGGGACAGTCCGGTTTCCAAGTGTTTATGTGGGGAATTAATATTAATCCTGGCTTCTGAGTGAAGGTCTTGCCTGCTTTATGCGAGAGCAGGCTCTATACGAGATTCCAATTGCTACACAGCATGATCTCAGGGCTCTTCCTCTGAAACAATGCTTGGTTGCGATATCATCCAGCAAGTGCAAAAATGCACTACCACGGTCAAGGATCATTTGGCATGTTCATCGACTATGTTAACCCATTAGTGGCGGCATGCACTGTCCACCTGACGAGTAACATTGTCTGGCGTTAGACAGAGTAAACTAACAAAGTACGGTGCATTGCCACTTAAAGGGTTAAAAACGTAAATACCACAGCACAACACTTGTACATATACAACAGCAATCCTTTTATATATTTAATGACTTCACATTTACATATTGGTGAAATATCAACGTCCATATATTAGGGATGTCCATGAACTTGACCCTAGCTTGAAGATCAAGTATTCATATCTTTTGTATAAGTTGTCCCTCTACAAACCAACTTTTAGTCATTATACAAGAGTTGAATTTGCATTCATTTGCTTCGTAAGTCGCAACAAACCGAACAAAGTACTAAAGCATAAACCTGTGCAAATGATCGAGCGTCTTGAGCGACATATCCAAGTCTTTTAAACGTCTCGTACGAACAAATCTCACTGAGTTTTTTGTACAGAAAGTATTGACCATTTGATCGATCGCCGTACTTTGAGAAAAGCTTGAAATGCAAAATTCGCAGAGAAGATTGAAGAATTGCGGAGATAAAAACTGTTTGTCTTCGAGTTTCACCTAGCATTCACCCCCCCGGTTGAGAAAAGTAACAATTACGTAATGTTGGAGTCACGTGACCAGCGTTTACCAGGGCTACGCCGCCGCCTTCAATTCGCGGCTAGCCCTGGGTACGAGGTTGCTATATCTTTAGCTAATTGGGTAATCTTCATTCCCATGGTTGTAAACAAGTCGTTGAATTCTTCTACAACTACAGTGGCATCTTTGGTGTATGTGGGTCTATTAGAATCTCCAGATGGCAAACATTGAAGTATAGTTTTCCAAATGCAGTTACTTTCTCCTTTACTTTATTTTATTTGTTCTTGGATATATACAATCTCTGCTTCTCTTAGTCGTTGCTTTGTTATTCTTCTCCAACCTCGTTCCCAGGGCTTCAGTGTGAGGACGAGGCGAGACACGAGGAAGCCCTGGACTGGGCCGGTCAATTCTGCATTCTGATTGGCTAACACCATATTGTCTAAAAATAACTGAATTTGACAGTTGACAATAACAATTCAACATTTGTATTTTTATGATTCTTGTGTGTACGAGTATGTTTTGCAAAATAAACTTTCAAAGTAAGACGTTTTCCCGACTGCATGATTTACTTTCGCCTCGGCCGGTTACAAAACTCAAAAGCCGTGTCGAAGTGAGCTGTAATGTTTCCTGACAAAACGAGAAACGTCTACTATTATTTAAGCTGTAGTTTTCCTTGTACAGTATTTATTAGTGCAGATGTCTGATGAAATACTACGCGTATTGCATTGTAGTAATATTTTAATTTACAATATTCTGTACTGACAAATAAAAGCAAGACAAACAATTAAATGAAACTACTAAATTAATTTAGGCCCTATTTATACTTAATAGCTCTACGCCTAGGCCGATGTAGTCTCTAGAAGATTCGCACGCCACCCAGTTTTACAGTTTCGGAATACCCCGAATACTTGAAAATTGCGACTATATATACGATAAAATAAAACAAAGATTGTGAAGGGAATAAAATTTGTAGACAAGCATTGCTCCTGAACGGCAAACGAATCCGTATATTCCTGTACAGCGTAAACAGGTTTATACGCGAAGTTTAATTTATATTTGTGTATATTTATATTGAACTAAGTCAGATCTATAAGAGAATATTTAAAATAAATATTAATTATAGCAATAGCCATATTGTTCAAGACGAGAGAAAGGAAATTTCGTGTGAATCACCACATGCATGGAGACGCATAGATGCAGCTTGGATGCAGTTTTGCCTGTAGATGAAAATCTCCAGAAATATCGATATATCTTAGAAAAACATATACGGGATCTTCATAGATTTTAGCTGATTCGTGCCAAACTTCGCTGTACACATAAATAATATGGATTGAGAAGTCTTTTGGCTATTTATTTGTTTCGAAGACTTGTATATTTCATTAAAGAATATCTCGCCAATCCTTGACGAGTAGCTGTCAAATACTGCCATTTTTTGTTGTCACGTGACCGGCCCAGACCAGGGCTTCCTCGTGTCCCGACTCGTCCTCACACTGAAGCCCTGGGAACGAGGTTGATTCTTCTCTTTTCTTTAAACTCGGACCAATCCCTTTCAGCACAAGATCTTCTCGCTTTTCTATGACTTCGGTCACGAGCGATCATCAAGTCTTTAATTTCCGAAGTCATAAAGGGAATTGGTTTCGCAGATACTTTAACAGTTCTTAATGGAGCGTGAGAGTCTAACACTGAAGACAATAAATTGTTAAAAGTTTCAAATTGCTCTTCAATATTATCAAATATATCCAAAATATGCCAAGATACTTTACCGATATCTTCCGCAAATCATCAGCTGTTATAGTTTTTATAACTGCGCACCTGGATGTAGGACTTCCTTTGTTTAGGCTTTCTCAAATTAAGGTTCACCTGTATAAGGTAATGATCACTTATAATTAAGTCAAGGGTACCACTTTCTTTAACCATACTAGGATTTGACAGGATGATGACATTAATTAACGTTGTACTATTCTCAGTTACACGTGTCGGTTTCTCTATGATTTGCTTTAAGTTATAATTAACACAGAATTCGTCCAAATCTGTAGAATGATCGACGATCGTTTTTGAGCATGTCACAGTTGAGGTTTCCAAGGAGTACTACGTCCTTATTTATAGCATTAAAACAGAATTCATAATCGGTGATAGATATGGGGCAATCTGGTAGTCTATATACCACTCCAATAACCAATGATCGTAGTTTGCGTTGTTCACATTGAATCCACAATTGGTGAAAGTTGTCAGGTGAAATACTGCTTAGGTCTTTGCGCGGTGTATCTTTAAGTCCACTCCTAGCATATACACAAACCCCACCCCCTCCCTTTGTAAGGCGATCAAGTCTGTAGAGATTGTAACCTGGGATGCGAATACTATCGTTGGAGTTGGAGGAATTCAACGAAGTCTCGGAAAGGGATAAAATGTCAAAGTCTTGTGAATAAACCAAGTATCCAGCCATCTAGGTTCTGCATGATGTTATCTATTGAGAGACTGCATGGGTATTGAAATGGGCAATGTTCAGATGTTTTTCTTTACCTTCGAACATAGGCTAGTTTGGCTTGAATCAAAAATGGAAAGTTGATAATTAATTGAAATATTTGCCAATTGCCTATGTATTCTCAAATCTGCAGGAGAACGATTCGAGCGAGGCCCCGATTGCAGAGTTCCAGAAATCACGGGAATTGTATGTCTTTGTGGGTTATTAGTATATTACGCTCTTGGGTAGTTGGACCGGGATTAAGTTCTATATCTCCACTGGTAAGAAGAATATTGAACGTTTGCGTTAGGATAGTAGGAAAACTTATTATGGAATCTCCTTTTGTAAAATGCAGTTACACAACACGCTCGACGTCGTCGCGGTTGAATAAACAACACATACTTTATGCAAATTTCAATACTGTTTATAGACCACGAATAGTAAACAAAATATTTGCTTTTAAACGAAAATCTTGAAGCAATACAAACATTATTGTCGCTCAGTTTAACATTAGGCCAAACTAACCATTCGTTTATCGCCAATAATCTATCGTACTGAAGCTCGCTGCGATCCATAGTCAAGCACCTAAGTCGGGTTTCGCATCCATATTCACTCACGTTCAAAGCCAAACTCAACCTCACATGTTCGATCAGTTTGCCCTGATTTTTTGACGAACAATTCTGCCATGTCTCGTTGGGCCTCGCCGTATGCCACCGTATGCGACTGTGCTTGAAACGTATACAACCTACAGTATGTCTAACGTACCCCTAGCGTTTTGGCATACGCCTTTTCCAGCGTATTAGTGATATTTTCTGTACGCTGGCATACGCTAGTACGATACGCTATGGTGTGAGACGGACTTAAAAGATTTCAATTTTTAAGTAATCTAGTGGGTCACTGAAATGGAAAATATTAATAATTTACTGACCGAGAGTGAGGGCAGTGCGGGAAAATATCCAACCGAGGTCTTGCTGTATTGACCGAGCGATAGCGAGGTCAATACAGCAAGACCGAGCTTGGTTATTTTCCCGTACTGCCCGAACGTTTGAGGTCAGTAAGTTTTTTATTATATGGCATTGTACGTTTGTAAAAATGGAAAAAAGGTCGAAACATTTGCAAAAAAGACAATTGTAAAATGTTCTCTTGGTTAATAAAACTACTCTACAGTACTTTTTATATAGAATACTAACACAGTTTGGATAGTATTTCAAGAAAAATACGAGGTATTTCGTCATTTAATCAAAGACAAAAACAACAAATATCAAAACAAAAAAATTAATAAACAGTATGAACAAGTACGTTTTTAGTTCGCTTCATCTCATAAATATGTCTCTTTTTATCAAACAAAAACAGAAATATTCAGGGAAAAAAATATAAACCTTTAGTTGTAGTATTTATTTAGGATGGTGTCAAATTCCTCGGTTATCTGCAAGTAAAATTTGCAGCTCTTCACAAAAAAAAAACAAAGTTATTCCTGACTGGTTTAATAGTTATAAAAATTGTGAAATTTACCTTGTAATTTCGACTTTCGCTAACAAAAACATATTGAGAAAGTTCTTTAACCAAAGAAGATGCTCCTTTTCTTAGTTTAGGTTTATTTTTCTTCGTTTCGAATAGTTTGAAAGACTTTTAGACACCTTTTGCCGTTTGAAATTCGGCTCTCGCCCCAGGACAATAAAAATTGCGTATTGCACGTGGGCAATACGGGAAAATCCATAGATATAGGAGATCTAGATTGCTAACGCATACCTAGCGCAGGCGGGGCCTACATGATAAATCCAAGATGGCGGTACAACAGGGCAAAAAGACTATAGATTCTATTACGAAAATCAGGATTTTTGCATTTTTTGCCGTCGCATTGTTTTGAAACTTATTCGGTCAAATTTTATGGTAAAGAGAAACTTACCGCGAAGATTTTGAGCATATATATGATTGATTCGGATGAAAATTCGCAAAATTATCCAGCGATAAAAGTTCGTGTATATAGTACTGATATAGTACTATATATGTAACTTGTACAGTTTTGCTTTAAATTTTAGCTCACTAATTGCATAAAAAGCAAATTATAACAGACCATAGATGATAGACCCTCATCCAGTGCTCTCATCAGTTTACTTCTCTAACAAGCAAGGAGGGGGGGGGGGGTACATAACAGTTCATTTTTCATAATTATGAGGACAGAGCAGATGATGATGAGAGATGCAAGTATAAAACACCATTCACAAGGCTATATGTTAACATAGCACAGTATTTCTGGCAATAAAACGCTCCAACTGACCAACTGACCATTTCACATGAACTTTTATCGCTGGATAATTTTGCGATTTTTTATCCAATTCAATCATAAATATGCTCAAAATCTTCGCGGTAAGTTTCTCTTTACCATAAAATTTGACCGAATAAGTTTCAAAACAATGCGACGGCAAAAAATGCAAAAATCCTGATTTTCGTAATAGAATCTATAGTCTTTTTGCCCTGTTGTACCGCCATCTTGGATTTATCATGTAGGCCCCGCCTGCGCTAGGTATGCGTTAGCAATCTAGATCTCCTATATCTATGGGAAAATCCTACCTCGTAAGTAGCCAATCAAATTGCACGATTCATCAAAACAAATGCTTGCCATATAATAAACTCCCTTATTGCGCAACAGGCATAAAGTATTCAGTACACTAACTGTATCGTGGTTCACATATACAACAAACTCCAGGAAATTGGGCAAAGTGAATTAAAAATTCTACCCAACTTAACACTATTGCTATATTGCTTTACTAAACTATACCTTGTAACAGAAAAGTAAATGTTACAACCCACCACCCTTACCACAATATACAGTCTTCCATCGCTGTTATCAAGTGGTCTCTTCCATCCTTTTGATGAATCCATGAAATAGGATGTTCGATTCTAAAACAAGAAAAACAGACATTGTATTAGGGTGGATCTTAAGGGATTCGCTTATATCAGTAACTTTCCTGCGGGATTAGATGGAATAAGTCAATTTCAATATGCTTATAATGTGAGCTATTAAATTGACTTGACTAGATTGATGACGCAGAAAAGAAACGCAGAGATAAAGTGCTGATACCACAGAAAACACGCGAGTTTTGTCAATATTATACCTCAAATTTAAATTGTCCAATCAAAATGCAGCATTTGTACACCATATTAATGTGATTTTAAACGGTATTACACTCAAATTCATGATTTAGCAATGCAGCGTGAGATATCGTAATTATAGTCTCACGGTAGATCTGTAGTGAGATATTAGAGAGCTTAAGCTTCGCGTCATACGTCAAACAGCAAACGCCAGGCAAAGATACAATGCATGATAATTCTTTCGACACAAGAAAGGAAATATAAAACGAATACGTTCAGATCAACGAAAGTTTTGCCTAGAAAGTTCGAGCCTGCCGTTTCCGGAAACGTGAAGCTTAAACTCCCTATTATATATTCTAGTTCAATCCTGAACATTGCCTATATGAGTTGTTACCGGAAGAACGTCGACGACCTTTAAGAGAACGCGATCATCAATTTATGTTACCAAAAGTTTACACAGAACGTTTTAAGCAATCATTTTTGAACAAGTGTCTTTTTAATGACTTTTAGTTTAAAAATTTTGTTATATACGAAATATAATATTAACTATAATGTAAATAATTTAATTTATAAATAATACTAAATTTGTAAATAATCTAATTAACATTTCTCATATGCACTGAACGTTTTAATAATTACTATATATATATATATATATATATATATATATATATATATATATATATATATATATATATATATATATATATATATTTATATACATCTTGTATCCACTGTAAAGATGCACGTTTGTTGCAACTTCAATTTTTAATAAAGACGTATAATTTTTTTTAAACAACAGAAATCTTTATTAATAACATGATAATTTATACAAATATATCACATAATTAGACTTTCAATTAACTCAGGAAAATAGAGAAGCAGTTCACTATATGTTAGACAGATAGGTCCATTCTCTACACTTTATATCAGTAGTAGCTAATAAAAATTCAGTATAAGTCTGGGTTATTCCACGGCTTGTTTCTTCTGCAGTAAATGTAGAATGTTGCTCTCAGCGCTACCTCCATACATTTTTTAATAATATATACGTTCGTCGTTCATTTCAAGTGTTCGTAATAATCTACGAAATCTGTCAATATCTTTCGACACAAACCCTAAAGTGGTTACTTCAAGTGTAATAACTTCAAACGCATGACACGCCGTGATCAGCTCAGATCTTAGATGTCTGTATCTTTCTTTCTTGCGACGTTTAGCCTTCGTACAATTGGTTTCGTAGGGAACAGTTAATTCAACCACATATACAGAACCCTTAAAATCGACCACTATATCAGGTCTTAGCGTTCGAAATAAAGTTGAAGTACAGGTCGTACCTGAATTAGGACAGTCCGCAAACAGTCGAAGATCTGCACCAACTGCGACTTTAAGTAATGAATAATAGTCATCAGAATCGAGTCATGCCGCCAAGTATAGCGTTGTTGTTCTAGGGCTACCTTGCAGTTGGAAAAAACGTGTAGCTGGGTTTGTAACTTGTTGCACAGCTCACAGTTGGCGGAGACACGAATGTTCCAGCGCTTTAGGTTAGAATTATTTCCTAAACTTAAAATTAACGCTCTCCTAGCAAAGCATACTATATTGCTGGGCATTCGAGTGACAATTTCGTGCAATACTTTAATCATCTTCTTATAGCAAGTATCAGTTAAGCAGGTAATGATCACGGATTGTTCTTTTAGTTCTACAAAGTTTGACCAAATTTCGTTAAGGTTTTTCTTTACCAGAATCTTCTTTGCAGCGTTTCTTAACATATATTGTTCAGAGATACCAGCAGCCGCCCGTTCAATAATATCAGTGACGATGTTTTTTCATGACGTTTTGGTATATAGCTGTTGAATATCGGAGTTGACAGAAGTCCTCAAGATTCTGCGCACTGTCAGTTTACATTGATTGTATATGTCAGAGGGGGAACAGGAATCAATTCCCAGTTGTAATTTAGGAAGCTTTAGATGACTAATGTTACCGCTGATTGGGATCTGGAGCCATTTCCGGATATATTTGGAGATTATAGAGTCCAGATTAGAATGTATACAGCTTGTAGTAAGCGGGTAGATTGAAAAACGCCAGAAGAACTTTGAGTAGACATAACTTTGAACCACGCGTATTTTGGAAAAAGGATTTATTGGGATAAGATCAATTTTCTTTAAGTAGTGTAGGATTTCATCAAGGATCTCAATTTTGGTTTCAGCACAATCCATCTCAAAATTGAATTGTTTAACTAAATACATAAAACTTTCAGCGTCCTCGATTGGGGGAACCTGTTGACCAGAGATTTTTATAGTAGGTTTATACTGGACTGCTTTTGTCCCAAATGTTTTGATCCCAAACGTGTGGCACTTATTTACTCGGATATATAAGTCTGCCCAAGAGGACCATTTACTAAATGCATTACACAGTAGTTGATTGTCTTCGTTATGTGCAGATATAATTGCAGCATCGTCCGCAAATTGGAACCAATGACGAGGGTTTAAGGATATATCATTAACATAACCAAGGCACTGTATCCTTTCATCATTTATCGTGTTAATGAGTGAATTCACGCATTAATTGAAAAGCAAGGGGGACAAACAGTCTCCCTGCAGTACGCCCCGTTCTGCAGATATCGGTATGGTTATAAAATTCTTCGTCAAGATTGAGATACCATAATCAGTGTAAAGGTTTTCTATCATACCAGTGATTTCGTCGGGAATGTGGTGACTTTTTAAAATAGATTTTATCAGGTTATGGTGCACTTCTCCAAATGCGTTTTTGAGATCGATTAGAGTGACAATGATAGACCGCTGCTTGTTGCGGGCGTGATTTAATAAATAACTTAACAGTTCGGTATGTTCAACTGTACCAGACAAGCCTGGCCAGAAACCCTTTTGAATGTTTGTTTCGATATATTTATTATCGCGCACGAATTTGAAAATTTTGTTCCTTATCGCAGAGGTGAAAACTTTCAACATGACTGGCTCCAAAACAATTGGGCGAAAATTAGCAGGATTGTTAGGTGAATCCTTTTTGTAAATGAGTACCGCAACAGCACGTTTCCAGATAGTCGGAATATGTTTTTCGGTCCAGCATTTCGAGAGGAGTCTCCAAAGCTTTGTTCTCAGGATGGGGCACCGTTTAAAAGGAATAATACTTATTCGGTCAATAGGGCAAGGAGAACCACTACTTTTCATTTTCCGAATTATTTTCGTTATTTCTTGGTAAGATGGACATTCCAGGTCGAAATTGCTCGATGCTACTGGAAATGCTTTCAGCCAAGAGGGAAGGTTGAATGCTCGGTTTTTATGCTTTTCGAAGGAAATATTTCTAAAATAATCATAGCAGGACGATTCGTCAAAATTTGGTTCTTGTGTCTCTGATTCTTCAAACTCTTTTTTACAAAATTTCCATAAAATAATAATAATAATGGAAACTTTATTAAATGTTTTTCTTTACATACATATACAATCGTAAATCTCTCTCATAAAGGTAACTTACGGTTGGCTATTTGAATCACAATTATACTAAACTAAAATAACAGAACAAAGTGCATGCAATATATATATATATATATACAATGAGATAAGTCAAATTGTTAGTAAATCCGGATTTTCCCATTCCTTATTTCGGCAGCAAAAAATGTAATATGTAGTTCTAATAGCAATAGTCATCATTTTCCTTACGCAGTACATTTATTATTATTATTATTATTATTATTATTAATAATAATAATAATAATAATAATAATAATAATAATAATGGAAACTTTATTAAATGTTTTTCTTTACATACTTATACAATCGTAAATCTCTCTCATAAAGGTAACTTACGGTTGGCTATTTGAATCACAATTATACTAAACTAAAATAACAGAACAAAGTGCATGCAGTATATATATACAATGAGATAAGTCAAATTGTTAGTAAATCCGGATTTTCCCATTCCTTATTTCGGCAGCAAAAAATGTAATATGTAGTTCTAATAGCAATAGTCATCATTTTCCTAACGCAGTACATTTGGTGGTTTTTGTCAAGACCAATACTATCTAACATGTCTAAAAATGTATAACATTCTTCTGCAAAAATACCTAAAGAGCTGATGGAAAGATTTATAAATTTAACTTGGTTAAAATTTTTACCTAGCTGTCTCAATAGTTCTCTATATTTATCCTTCTTCCGTTTTACATTGTTTTTGAGGTTTGTCTCATAACCAGTGGTGAGTTCAACCACATATAAGGAACCATTTGAGCACGATAATAACAAATCTGGGCGATACGTATCACCAGTAAGTATTGAAGGGCTTTTGAATCCATTTAGATCAGCGTAGAGAGTAGAACCGTCAACAGTTTGTAACTGATGAGCAAGAAAGTTTAGGACTGAATTGTGTCTCCACGTAAATCGGTCGAGATAAAACTGACATCCAGCTACTATGTGTAGTAATGTTTCAGGGCTAAGACAAAAAGAACAGTCTGAATTTGAAGATATTGCCCATCTGTTTAGGTTTTTGCGCGTCGGAAGAGAGTTGTTAATGTATAACGAATGGTAAAGTTGTAAATGTTTTTCGGGAGCTTTGATTGGGCGACGGACCACACCTTGCTAAGCTGAGGTAAAGCGAACTTCGTGACGCTGCAGAAAAAGGATCCTTGACTGGTTAATTGGTTTAGGAGTTTGTTTTCGTGTCCAGAACGGAAATCTTTGAGAACTTCCTTAGTAGAGTTATAAGCGTCATATTGGATATTAGTATGGTTACTGGTTGCTCTCCACAGGTCGTTAGTTGACTCACTAGGAGAAAATTTTAAAGCTTTTCGGAGGACTGTTTGACACTGGATAAATTTTACAGATGGAGGATAAATACT